ATGTTCCTAATATTCACAATACTTCCCTAGTATTCCCTTAATATTCAGTATTCCTTAGTATTTTCTTGGAATACCCCTAGCATTCTCCCAATATTCCGCCAGTAACCCCAGCATTCCTTAGTATTTTCGTGGTTTATTCGTAGTATTCTTTCCCAGTATTGCCCTAGTATTCTCCTAGCATTTCCTCTTGTTATTCCCCTGGTATTCCCTTGTTATCCCCTCGGTGTTTCCCTAGTTCTTTGCTACTCAGAAACTGGAGCGCAAATGCAGGATACTAGCGGAAGTACAACGGGGAGTGCTGGAGAATACTAGGGGAGTATTTAGAGAATACTAGGGGCACACCAAGAAAATACTAAGGAATACTGAACAATATTAGAGGAATACTAGGGGAATACAACTCTAGAGGTAAGGGAATGCTACAGAAATAGGGGACTATGAGGGGAATACTAGGGGAAGAGGAATACAACTCTAGGAGTAAGAGAATTCTGAAGCAATAGAGTACTATTCGAGGAATAGCAAGGGGAATGCTAGGGGAACAGTAATGGAACACAAGCGAATACTATGAAAGAATACGGACTACTTAGGGAATGTTAAGGGAATCTTGGAGAACGCTGAGGAAATACTAGAGGGTACACCAAGAGAATACTTGAGGAATAGTAGGGGAATATTGAGGGGAATGCAGCAGATCCGCTAGGGAAATGCCAAGAAGCTGCTAAGGGGAATGTTGAAGGAATATCAGGGGAACACTTGAACACTGAGAGAAGATTAGGGGGTATACCAAGAAAATTCAAAAGGAATTAAGGGAACTCGAGGTTTTTGCACTTCCCGTATTGTCCCCTCAGTGTTTTCCTAATATTTCGTTCGTGTTCTCTCAGGGTTCCATTATATGGCATTCCGTTACTATTCCCTGAGAATTCCCTGAAAATTCCTCATTGTTCCTTTAACATTCCACCATCCTTGCCATATTCCTTTTGTATTCTCTTGCCCCTAGTGTTCTCTCAGCACTCCCCAGTATTCCTTCAATATTCTCAATATTCCCGTAGTATGTTCCCAATATTCACAATACTTCCCTAGTATTCCCTCAATATTCCCCAAGCATTCCCCTTAGCATTCTCTATTCCTCTAGCATTTTCTTACCCCTAGTAGTTGTACGCTCCTAGTATTCCCCCCATATTGCCCTAGTATTCCTTGGTATTTTCTTGGAATACTCCTAGCATTCCCCCAATATTCCCCCCAGTAACCCCAGCATTCCTTAGTATTTTCTTTGTTTTTTCGTAGTATTATCTCCCAGTATTCCCCTGATATTCTTCTAGCATTTCCTTTTGTTATTCCCCTGGTATTCCCTTATTATCCCCTTGGTGTTTCCCTAGTTTTTTGCTACTCAGAAACTGGAGCGCAGATGCAGGATACTAGGGGAAGTACAAAGGGCAATGCTGGAGAATATCAGAGGAGTATTTGGAGAAGACTAGGGGCACACCAAGAAAATACTAAGAAATACTGAACAATATTAGGGGAATACCAGGGGAATACAACTCCAAGGTAAGAGAATTCTGGCTTCCTCAAAGGACAGGGCAGCATCTCATTCACCGAGTTGGCGCCGACCACTTTCCACAAAGCCCACACTTGCCATGTCGAGGCCAAGGAGTGTGAATTCAACACTGCGGAACGGCCAAGTTGTTTCCGCATCCAGATGTGAGACTGCAGCCAGGGAGCCCTTAACACACAAAGCAAAGGAAGCCAAGAGAAACGACAGAAAACCAAAAAAACCTCGAGAAAACCAAAAAAACCGAAAAACCAAAAGAACCAATTTTCAGACACTCTTTGGAGACGACCCCTGGCGGAAGACTTCCCAGATTTTTTTTTCCGAGTTTTTTTTTGGTTTTTTGACCAGATGGCAGAAGACTTCCCAGATATTTGTTGTTTCGATGTTTGTTTGGTTTTCTCGAGTTTTTTGTTTTGCTTTTTGACCAGATGGATGCTCAGATGCAGACACCAGATGCCTTGCACAAGCAAAAAATGCGTGTTTCGCCTAGACGCCAGCACTGCCACATGCACAAAACCATGGTATTCGCAGTGTTTTCTGAGCTTTGCAGTGCTAAAACTAGATGCCAGGGATGCTTCTAAACAGGACAGACCATCAGACCATGGGCATGTCTTGCTTTGGGGCCCCTTTATGGCGGTTGTCCTTCTGGTTTCCCTTAAATCCCCAACCAAACCGGCGGGCCCCTTAAAATAACAGTTGTCCTTTTGGTTTCCCTTGTTGCAACACTGGAAACACAAAACCCAAACAAAAACAATTTGGGTACAACAAAAAGACAGACCCAAATCTGTGAAGAAATCCTCGCGCCATCGAGGCCGAGGCCTCGGAGCTGCGGAAGGCCCTGGCAGTGCTGGCGGAGACCGAGGTGAGACGATCGAAGCGCCGTCTCCCGTTTGAAGCGCCGGGGGTGCCGACGTCAAGCCTCCAGTTCTGTTTGGATTCCGAGAAGCCCAGGGCTCCAGTTCCAGTTTGACACGTTTGGTGGAGATCCCTGGATTTTGGGGAAGCAGCTTGACAAGCTTGGTTTTTGGAAATAAATCCGTCGCTCGATGTGGGAGTCGGAGCCAACACGCATTTGCTAGTGGCGTATTTGGAGATACCCAGCCTTGGTTTTGGGTCGCATGTGCAAAGCAGTCTTGGTTTTGGGTTGGTGACTCCTCTCCAGAGAGCTGTCTACGTCTCCTTTGTCACACATATCCCAGGGTTCGGGTTTTGCTAACCACTCCAAGTTATACCATGTCATGAAAAGCAAGCCCCATGCTGACTCCGCTCTCGTCGCTCAATTGCAACAGCTCGTGCCGGCCAGGCAAACGCGACAGCCCTCCGCGAAAAAGAGAGCGCACAGCTTCTCGCCTGCAATGGCCAGTTTTGCGGTTCCAATAGAGCCACCAGCTCTGAAGGGATGGTTGGAGGGTAGAACAGCTTTGACTGAGGTTTGAGAAGACAGTGCCCGAGGTGCAGGCAGATCACCCGACTCTTCGGACAACTCAAATAATCGACAAGGGGATCACGGAACAACCCGCCGGTGTGCTGCCATGATTCGGCCAGGAGGGGCTCGAAGGCGTGAAGACGGCCCTGAAAGTCTTGCGCGAGTGCCCTTTCGCTTCCTGTGTTGTCATGTCGCAGGTTGCGTTTGTGTCAGATCACGTCGAATCAAAAGCTGAGCCGAGTGCTAAGATTCCCACAGCGTTGAAAGGTACTACCAGGGAACCAAGGCGGCCTCCAACCGAGGAGGCAGGAGGCCAAGTATGAATAGTTCGAGAAAAATGTCATTGTGTATGTGTAGCCTGCGCCAGAGGCACGGCAACTGGCGTCGTCGGCATGCTGGAGGCAAGCGTCCAAAGACAAGGGAATCAGTTTTTTTGTGTCATTGTCGCATTTGCGTGCATGTGTCTATTTCTCTACCAGAATTGATCCACATGATCAATGCATTCTCCGAATTGGTCTGGGTTCTGCTGGGTTCTGCTTGCCTGTGGATGCAGGTGGTTGAATCTGACTTCGCGAAGAACCTCGCGCAGCTGCGGGTGGCGGAGGCGACCGCCAAGGCGGGTTTGCACCGCCGCCAACTGGCAATTGGATCGCTTGGTCTGTCTATGTACCACCATAGGGCTTGACCCTTAAAAACGCACAGACTCGGCAGGAAGACTTCAAGAAAGGCATGCAGGACCCGGATCTGCACGGCTCGCAGATGCGCATGCGCATCCGTGCCACACCAACCACCAGGTTGCACATTGAGATCTGGTTGCTTGAGTCCTGATATCTTTCGGCGAAGTCCATTCCAACGAGCTTCCTTCGGGTCGGAGGACCTGAAGTTGGAGAAGACGCGCAAGGAGCAGGACGTGAAGTACAAGACCCAGGCGGCGCAGCGCCTGGATGCCGACCTCACGGAGCTCCAGTGGCTCACCTGCAACCCTGAAATGAGGGGGTGGGCGGGGCCGGGGGGTGGGCCCGGAGGTGGGTGGGTGGGTGGGTGGGTGGGTGGGTGGGTGGGTGGGTGGGTGGGTGGGTGGGTGGGCGATTTGCTGCTTTCAAGTGAAAAGGGAACGAGGGGAAGACGAGTTGGCCAAATACAGCCCAAAGCTCATTTGGAGGCTTGGCATGGCACATCAGGTCAGATTCGGAGAGCGTACACACCGAGCTATCGGCGATTGAGGAGTTCAACAACGGCCTCAAGGTTCAAGATTGCAAGTCAAGCATGTTAAAATGTGCATCTGTCTACCAGGCGGAGTGCTCTGTCACCCCGGAAAGCTTCCAGGAGATGAACTCAAGTTTCTGCTTTGCAGGATGTCAAACACTTGAACAAGCGATACATGTGGGATTCAAGGAGAAGCAAGCCAAGAGGAAGGAAGAAATCGACGGGTTGAAGACTGTTTGCACCCCAGCTTTTTGCATGCATGCCTTGTGTGGAAAGGCCCCCCTGCTTTGCTGCACAGTGCTGCTCAAGGCTCTGGAAGCGCTGGACTCGCAGAGCGGGGCAAGCTTCATGCAAGAAGCTTACTGCACGTGAAGCCTGTGTTGCCATAGAAAAGAACGTGAGACCTACGAGACACACGGAGTACACACATATTACCGCTGCTACGGGCACTGCAGGCAGTCACAGAAGAAGGCAGTGCTGAGATGGTTGCGCGGCAGCCGACGCGCAGATCTGAGCCACGACTGAGGGCATTGGATATTCAAAGGCCAAGTTGCCTTTGCCTTGGGCTAGCGGCTAGCGGCTAAAACGCCATAGATTCCCCGAGCGAGTGACCTTGCCGGCGCCGGGGAAATGCGCGGTGCTTGCAAGACAAGGGCAGCCGGGGGCCGACAGAATCTAAGGCCGAACCCGACACTGCACATGGGTGTTTCTCAAATATTTGGGAACCCCATTCAGAGGGTTGGCTTCCTTTTGGTTTGCCTTCATTACTATCCATAAAGGGGACCTATTTTGATTGAAACCCCCACATGGCTCCCTTCGCCCGAGGCGTCGACCCACAAGGCTCTGCAAAGCAGCCGAGCATCGATCTGGTGGAGCTCCCACGGCTGGCGGTGAACTTCAAGTGCATGCAGAAAGGCGGCATTGCGCTTGGCCGTTGGGAGGGAATCTGGGTAAGCCAGTTGGGTCATGGGAGAAAGTGTGTCAAAGTGTGTCAAAGTGTGCGGAGTTTGAAGAGACATCTTGTCATATTTCCCGGAGCGTTCCGGGGCATGTGCCGCGCCAGACGGGGAGCTGCGGCTCTACTGCGTGGATCACGGCGACCTGTTCCTGTAGCGCCCCCAGCCATGCGACCATGCGGCCATGCGGCCATGCGGCCAGCCACTTCGCGCCAGGCCCAATGGGCCGCCCACAGCGCTTCGCAGCGAAGCTGCACGTTTGCTATCTCCGCTGCCACACGCCGGACGCCCAAACTCAATTCCGGGAGTTTCGTGTAGGTCTGAAGGGCCGCAGCAACCTCACGTTGAAGTGCAACCAGTGCCATGCCGTGCCCAGGCCTTGCTCCTGCAGACCGAGAACTCCGAATTCCACGTGCTTTGCGCCGGCCTTTGGAGCTGCAGGGTTTGGATGCTGTATGTTTTGTTCGGCGTTTTGGGCTGGCAGCAACAGGCACTAAAACTTTCCCCACGTTTCTGCCACTCCACATGCTTTCGTGGCTTGAGAATGGAGAGTCGACCTGGTGGTAAGTTGTCTCTCGGGTCATGTCGATTTCGCGGTCTGGCATCACCTTAAGGCCCCAACGTCAAGGTGTTCAGGCGGGCCTTAGCACGTTGGCAGCGGGGATATTGGGAGTCTCAGTTGTGTAAACGGTGGATGTCTGGTGTGTGTGTGTGTGTGTTCGCGCGCGTGTGTGTGTGTGTGTGTTCCTGCAGACTGGTTATCGGTTGGGCAGCCTCCTCCATGGATCTACACGAGTTCTTCTCACAGCGTTCGCTGCTTGCCAGGCCGGTCATCGACTCTGATCCCTTTTCCACGGAGCTTGTCTTTGCCCGCCCAAAGCTGAGAGACAGTCTGGATGCACTGACTTCGCGTGCTCAAAGGCCCGAGTGCAATGACACAATTTTCTGCACTTCTGCTTCAGGTGCTGACTTCAAATGGAACAAGAATTCCCGCAACAAGAGCTTTCTCTATCCCGTGCGCCATTTTTCCAACCATTTGGACAGTGCAGCCACAATTGTTTTGCTCCTTTGTTCCAGGTACACCCGACCCTGTCCTTTCTGCAGACGCATCAGCCTGAGTGGGAGAACCATTGCGGGATGCCGTAATAGCTGTGCGAGATGCGATGGTAAGATGAATCGACCAGATTTGCATGACCCGAATCACCTTTACAGTGTCATAGAGAGGGAGCTTTTCAGCAGCCCCCCTGGCATTTGCATGATCAAAAGCAGAACAAAGGCCCACCCAGAACTCCGCGCTGTACCTGCTTCTTATGCAGTGGCTGCACCGGAACTATGGGGAAGCGCCCGTGCCTCAGCTCTGCACTTGGGGCATGGCGACATCCAGTTGAATGGGAGGGCCGCGCTGGTGAACAGCATCGCCACGGATGACCGCAACCACCTCAGAGCCAAGTGGTTGACCCAAAACAGGGACAACTGACTTGTTGTAGTCGTTTTTTGGAGGACTGACTTGTTGTAGTCTTTTTTGGAGGACCACACCGGAAATTTCCCACCCATACATAGGTGCCATTGTTGAAGGTCTGCTTGATCGGGCTAGAACATGGCTGGATATTGGCCATTGCTTGGAGCAATTGACGGCTGATAAATTATTTGAATTCGACAATCATTACCTTTTCCAACTGGTGAGTGCATTTGAGTTTTTCGGGGATACAGGTCTCGCAACAATGATGAGAGCCCAGGCTTGGATGCTGGAGAAGCGCAGATCTTCGAGCAATTGAGCATCATTGCCTGCCTCCAAGTTGGAAGTAGACTTGGCAGCACGCACCCAGACACAAGCGTCAAAGCGATGCCAACCTTGGATGATTGATTACAAGTGAGGGGGATGCGGATGCTGACACGCACGCCATTCGGCGGTCTCCTGAGCGAATTGATGGATCGGTTTGGTCGACGTCCGTGTCGGCGCGCTTGAGTGAGTGGAGGCTGCAGATCACCCTGGCCATGAGCAACGCGCCTGGCCTGGATTGGCCCTGGGAGAACTGCAAGGAGGCACGATGTGCCATGAAGGATACGCTTCATGCCACGCACGCGTAGTGGGCAGTCTGAAGGTGGAGGGCTACTTGTGGTGGCCTCAGCTGCATTGGCAAGGCTTGTGCTTGGTATTACGCTGAGGAAGAAGCTGTCCCACGTGTCCGCTCGATGCAGACTTTCCCAAGCAGACGAGACCAGAGTGTCAGCGCCCCATGGAAGATTCCTTGGCGTGACACTGTCGTTTTGCGCGTGGTGAAGGCTCCGAATTTGCTCGGATGAGCGGAAGAGACGGGACCTGGTCCGGGCAGAGGTGAAGGCAGGACGCGTTTCTTGGAGCTCAGCTCTGCCGAGCTGCGACTCAGCTCAGGCGATGAAGCGGCAATTCTGGGGTACCTTGGCTGCGATGTGAAGACGGGTTGAGCGAGCGAATGATTCGCTGAGGCTATTACGGCAAGGTAAAGCTGCAGCTTTGGCCTCGGAGAGTTTCTCAAATTGAGTGAACGATTTTGTTCTAGGCGATACCACAAGATCCTGACGGACCCAGTGGCAGCACTGGAAGCCACAGTACGACACCCAGTGTTTGGGACCCTGGCTTCAGACCCGACCACTGGCCAAAAAGGGGCCTAAACCTCGACTCAGCCACACGCAAGAAGCGGAGTTTGCTAGGCGCAAGATCACCGCGAGCTGCAAGAATGGCTGAAGTCTCCCTTGCATGATTGTCGCGTCTTGGTCACGCGACGGGAGACTTGCAGCCCGAGCGACCAGGCACATCAGGAAGAAGGTCCGGGCCGCGCAGCTCCCAGGGGGCCGCGAAGAAGTGAAAGAGGCGAGATGCAGCGGCTTTCTAGACTGAACGAACAAGCTGCCCTGGTCAGCGGAAGTCGGAGCACTCTAGCTTTCCATGTACACTTATGCAATGTATATATATATATATAACTACATACATACATATCATATGTGTACATATTTAGGATGTCTACCCCATGCATAATATGTTTCTTGCTTTGATGTTCTTCAATCTTCAGAAGCCTCATAGACTCTCCATCGCCAGGTTCTGACACAGGTGCTTGGTGGCTGGGAGAAGGAGGACAGAGCGCGCCCTTGGGGGGCACTGTGGATGCTCATGACTGACCGCCAGGATGCGATGACATCCTTGGTACTGGAGAATAGGGAGAAGTACCTGGCTGCCCTGCAGGCCAGATGCATTTTCCAACGTGGCAAGGTGCTAAACCGACGGGACGTCGCGTTTGAAGAGAAGCAAACACGACTGGCAACCTGAGGATCCCACCCAGCGGCCATTTGTAGTGCCCTGTCCAGAGAGACCCAAAGAGTGGCGGACTCAGCGCATTTCTGGATGCAAGTGCCAGCTCGCTCTCTGAGGACAAAGTGGCAAAGCCACTTGGACCAGAACGTGTTGGCCTCGATTGCAGAACCTGGCTCATATGGCCCTGAATTTTAATAGGTAACCCCCTCCAAAGTGGTTGGTTGACATCGAATCCTCACCTAAATGATGCCCACCGAAGGGTCCCTAATCAAAATTCATAGCCATATGTTGCGATGTTGCACCCTGCGCAAATAGAACCTTTGCGCGGAGGTTTTGATGTGCTCTTTGTTCGACCTGCTCTTCGAAGTCCTTGGTGTTGCAGCCTCGGCCAGTCACATGCCAGCGTGTGTGGGGTCATATCAGACATGTCTTTGCTTCTCAGCTCCTTAGGCAGAGCTGCTCCTGCGAGATGATGTTGGCGAGGACTCCGAAGGGCGCTCACCTCAGATCATCGTTGTCATCTTTGTCAGGGACATCGCCATCTGCATGATCTTCCCGCGTTCTCCTCCTCATCCTCACCTCAGCCTATCCTCTCCCTGATGCGCCTCCTCATCATCACCGTCATTAGCATCACAAGCAGCAGAATCGGCATCGCAGCAGCAGCATCAGCAGCAGCATCAGATCACTATCGTCCTCATCGTTGTCATCGTTGTCAACACCAGCACCTGCCAGCACCAGCACTAGCACTAGCACTAGCACCAGCAGCACCACCAGCACCAGCACCAGCACCAGCACCAGCACCAGCACCAGCACCAGCACCAGCACCAGCACCAGCACCAGCACCAGCACCAGCACCAGCACCAGCACCAGCACCAGCACCAGCACCAGCACCAGCACCGGCACCACTATCACCGCCCCCTCCACAATACCATCACCACTAGCATCACCATTGTCAGCACCATCAGCATCAGCATCATCACCACCATCATCGTTCGTCATCATCCTCGCCACCACCACCACCATCATCATCATCCTCGTCGTCATAATCATCATCATCATCATCATCATCATCGTCATCGTCATCATCGTCATCATGATCATCATCATCATCATCATTATCAACATTATCATCATCATGATCATCATCATCGTCATCATCATCATTATCAACATTATCATCATCATGATTATCATCATCATCATCATCATGGTTTTCATCATCATTGTCATCCACAGCATCTTTCTCATCCTCCTCCACCACCATGATCATCGTCATCGTCATCGTCATCGTCATCGTCATCGTCATCGTCATCGTCATCGTCATGGTCGTCATCATGATCGTATCATCCAACATCACGATCACCAAGATAGCATCACAACCACCAACAACACTAGCACTACTGCCACCAGCCACTACTTAGCACCAGCACCAGCACTAGCACCAGCTCCAGCACCAGCACCAGCACCACCCCCACCGCCACCCCCACCACCGCGGCCGCCCCCACCACCGCCGCCACCCTCCCCATCATCATTATCGTCGTTGTCACCATGGCATCGACGAGGCCCGAGATTCCTTTGATGCGGCGCATGTCCCTGCCCATGGCCATGGAGCATGCCAAGAAAATGATCAACGGCGAGCCAGAGCCACAGTGACATCTAGAGCGTGGCCTTGTGGGTAGGCGATGCCGCCAAGGTGTCAGATCTCCGACACCGGTACCTATGCGTTGCTCTACTCTGCAAGGGTCCCCAGCAAGGAATCTGATCTTGCATTGCCATGGAGTCGCTGGCTTGACGGCACTCTTGCGACGGGAATCAACTGAGGTGTTCACGCGCAGCGTGGCCGTGAAGCTTGGTCGGTCCAAAGACGTCAACTATCAGCTTGGAGCCCAAATACACCTAGAAAGGACGTGTGAGGTCACCAGTGCAACGGCATGTAATATTAGATTTGGCTTGCGAGGGATCAGTTTCATCGGAGAGTCCTTGAGGCACCAGCACAGCTTTGGCGAGCTGTTGCTTCAGCTCACTCCCGGGGTTTTTGACTCAGTGCAGACATGGATGTGAGTAGATGCGAGTACTCAACGTGTAAACTCCTGAGGCACGCAACCACGGCATTCTCAACTCGGTTCTGCACATCCTTGCTCCCTCCTTAGCGCGGCGGCTTCCAAAGCTGCCTTGGACAATTATACAATAACTATATATATATACATACATACATGCATACATGCATACATACATGCATGCATGCATACACACATACATACATACATACATACATACATACATACATACATACATACATACATACATACATACATACATACATACATACATACATACATACATACATACATACATACATACATACATACATACATATACATACATACATACATACACATACATACATACATACATACATACATACATACATACATACATACATACATACATACATACATACATACATACATACATACATACATACATACATACATACATACATACATACATACATACATACATACATACATACATACATACATACATACATACATACATACATACATACATACATACATACATACATACATACATACATACATACATACATACATACATACATACATACATACATACATACATACATACATACATACATACATACATACATACATACATACATACATACATACATACATACATACATACATACATACATACATACATACATACATACATACATACATACATACATACATACATACATACATACATACATACATACATACATACATACATACATACATACATACAAACATACAATAACTTAATACACATATATATATATACATACATATGATCATACATATATATATATATATGTATAAACAGCAACTTATGTATAAGCAGCAACTTAGATTTCGCCGCCTTTCGATTTGGGTCCCAACATCCAAGCAGAGGCTTCGATTTGTCTGAGGCTCTCAACCCTGAGACAGCTGCGGGGCTATGGCCTCAGAGACCCGTGTTTCGTCTCATCAAAAGACAAAAAAGACCGCGGACTCCTTCGGTTTGATCCGTTGAGTTGCTGTCACCTTCTTGAAGCGATCCAAAATGTGAACTTTTTCTTGTAGCGGAACAACCACTGCCAATGTGGGGCGTTTGGATGCTGCAAGTGCTATGCTTGCCGTGTTTGAATAGTGGGTCTTCCAGCAATCGCAAGAAGCTGTCTCACCAATTTGTACCGCTCCAGCTGCGCTCAGTTGGTAGAACACGTGAGGATGCCTCAGCTGACAAAGCCGAAGAAAGTGCGGCTGGTCAAGCAGTGGAAGGCGGGCAAATCGCATGGTGTTTCTGAAAATGGTCCGGTGGACCCCTTTTGGTTGGTATTGGAAGGGCCACGATATAGAGCCAGTTTGACTCTTCTAAGCGCCGGTCCAGCCTCAAAAGCTGTTGGGCACAAGCAGACAGCCAGCCCGCGAGGCCAAGTTGAGCCAGATCCAGAAAAGCTTGCTGGACGCCGCCTATGGGCGCGCTCCTGAGCTTATGCCGTATATGGGTATGTCACGTTGATTTTTTAGAGGAGCCCCTCAAAATGGCTGGCTCTGCAATTGGTTTCCCTTTGCAGCCACAAAAAGCAGGTTTCCTTCAAAAAGACCAGCATGCGGGTACGTGAATGTTAGGGCACCTTCTCACTGGTCAACCACAAAAGGGGCTCCGATTTCTCTTGACTCCTTCGGTGCGAGGCTGCAGCTCCAGTGGCCGCCTCACCCCAAGGACTTTGGCGAGCTCCCGGTCCCAGCGCGGGTCCTATGGGCTTTTCATGCGCGCTGCCGCATCCTGGTGCTTCGAGTCGGAGGGCAACGGATTGAGAGTTGGGAGAGACGCCTGAATGCTTGCATGCTCAGCCGTGCGAGTTGAGTACTAGGTGCACTGCGAAGTGGCCAACATCTTCTTGGAGCTGCCGCCCAACAGTTTGGGAGGCCCCGATTCGCGCGCGCAGACTTCGTCAGCTCAGCGCACGGCGGCGAAACCGACAGGCCTGAACCCCCAGCGCCTCTTCAATCTCCTGGGCGGCAAGGCTTCGTTGAGCCGAAGGCGCGGAAGAAAGTTACCAAGATCCGCGTGTCTCAGCCAGTGTTTCTCAGGCCAGTGAATGTGGGCCTGGGCTTGGCGTCTCAGAGGTTGAGTAGTTCGCAGCTCAACATTGGAGCCCGAATATGGCCTGAGGTTGCGACTGGAGGCTGCTTTGCAGCTCCAAGCTGCATACCGCCTGGGGCCTTGAACAGAGTTCACCCCCAAGCAGTGGAACGCTTGAATCCACTAGAGCTCATCTTTAGAATGGCTTTCTGCGCGCTCTTTTCTGCAGACGGCCTGCATGGGAGGTGTTGGCTTCTGCATGCTCACTCTAGACAATGCCTATTGCCACGCAGAAGCTGCCTGACGATTTGGGACTGATGAGTGTTGTTCGGATGTCATGGCCAAAAGACGCACTCGGGAGCCCCAAAGCCAACTGCGGTCGGGACTGAGGTCAGCAACGAGGACTTGGACGCCTTCGCCTCTCGACCTCTTCATGCTCTAGTGGAGAAGTGACCCCAGCGGAGTCTTGCGCACGGCGCTGATTTGTTTCATGCCGCCTTTGCGGGTATCCGTTTTCTGGCCGCAGATGAAGTGGGGCGAGCAGAACTAGATGGGTTCTGAGGAACAACTAGGATTTCTGAATTCTGAATGGTTGGTTTCATACCGGTGTCCCCGGAGCACTGGAATCATCGGAGGGCCCAATTTTCGCATGCGACAAAGATAAACCAGAACGATCCCAAACGCACATCAGCTCGTTCGGATTCGAGCACAAGTTGCCAACAAAGACCCTCTGTGCTCTCGTAAATATATCTTTCAATCAATCCCTGACTTTGCACAATGACACTTGATCAGTTTTGCTGGGCACATGGTTAATCTCCTGGCCGCAATTGGCGCGTATGTCGCGCGCGATGCTTGATTGCGCTGCCTGGTGCACTTGACTGCGTGGAGGGCTCTTCACTTGTCGACAAGCCATGACAAGGTGCGAGTCACCAAGCGCAAGCAGGGAGAAGCAGGGAGACAAGTGGGGAGACAAGTGTGGAAACAAGGAGACAAGAAGGGAGACAAAGCCGTGACAGGTCGTGATGGTTGGTTTAGAGTGTGGTAGGATAGGTTTGGTGTGGGTTTAGGCGGGTTGATCCAGAGCTCAGGGTTAGGGTGGGGCTGGGATGGGGTTAGGGTGGGAGGGGGAGGCTGGAAAGACGAAGGCCAAAAGCGACAAACAACAAAAAAGCAAAAAGCCAAGACGCTGAGCCAAGGCTCCCAAACATGAGAGCAACTCAAAAGCCGTGGAGGAAGCAAGGGCAAGGTGGGGAAACAGGCCGTGACAAAGTCCCAGCGAGCAAGCGCAAGCAGGAACACAAGCAGAGAAACAAGTGGGGGGGAGACAAGCTGTGATAGGGTTCGACTCAGCAAGTGAGCAAGCGCAAGCAGGGAGACAAGTAATTCGGGCGACACGCCGCAACAAGGCCCCAAGTCAAGCAGGCAAGTTGAGTGACAAGTGGGAGACAGGCTGGGAGACAGGCTGGGAGACAAGTGCGGAGACAAGCCGTGACAAGCAAGGAGACGAGCAGGGCGAGACACTGTGACAAACGTGACAAGGTCTGCATCCGCCAGCACCAGCACGGAGACAAGTTGGGAGACAAACCGTGACAAGGTTCGAGTGAGCAAAGCAGGACAGGTGGGGAGACGACAAGTTGGGAAGCAAGTGGGGAGACAAGCCGTGACAAAGTCCAACTCCGCAATCAGAAGCGGGGAGACAATTGGGGAGTCAGGAGACAGCAGGGGTACCAGGGAACAGTTCTTTGCATGAATAGAGAATTCAACAGTTGAGGGTCGCACTGAGATACTCCTCCAAGTCAAGCTGGTGTCATGTTGGTCTTCTTCTTAAAAGCAGAGTCCCTTTCAGCCGGCCCCATTTCAGAACAAGGGAAGCTAGGAAGTCTTTCGGCGACTCGCGCCAATTTGCCCGTCGGCTTCTGGATTATATCGTGAGCGTTTACGCCCTTGCCAGGCACATTCGCTTCGAAGACCCAGCAGAAGAGGTGGGGGATCTAAATTCATATTGATATAGTGGCACCCTGATCTTACAACCCTGGTGCTGGACAAAAATCGTGTTTTGCCCCTCTTTGGCGCAATTTGACCACACCGGGACTCGACGTTGACGTTGTGTTTCAAGGAGTTCTGCTTGCCCAGGCAGCGGCAGACATGCCCTTCGTCCTTGACGCACACCCGGCCATGCAGCATGCGGTGAGCGCCCCGGGGCCGCTTTGACGCTTTTTCGGGAGCTCGCGCACGATCGGGTTGCGCCGATTTTCTCGGTTTCTGGCTACCTCGATGGGGGTCGCACATATATCTCCAGTGGCAAGATATCGTGTCTCGTTTTGCCAACAGTCTGTTGGATCCACTTTGTTTCCGGCGAAACGGACTCATCATTTGCTCCAAAAACATACACCGACATCCGGAAACTTGACGAATCCAGTTTTTGTGAAGACGCATATGGGTGCTTCCGCCTTTTTTTCTCCTTCTATTTTTTGTTTCTTTCGGTCGCCTCCCTTTTGTTTTTGGTTGTTTTTTGCGGGAGGCCACAAGAGGGGTTTCCGATTCCCAACTTGAGGGCATGGGACAGACCAATCTCACCAGGTGGCAAAGGCCTTCATGGGCCGGCTCGCCAAAGAGATGAAGAACTATGCGGCCATGCACAACAAGCAGCCCGGTGCCTTAGGCCAGTCGTTTCGTCCAGACGAAGGTGCTGAGGGATGACGTATTCTCATGCTGCGCTGGGGACAAAGACCGATCGCATTTTTGGTTTCCGAATCAACCGTTTTGGTTTCCGAATCAAAACGTGACCGTGTACTGGTCCCAGCTTGCTTCTTGAAGTTTGGATCAACATGTTTGCCGGAGTTTTCTGCACTTCGATACTAAGGAAGCGCCCCAGGCTGATGCACATGGACATTGATGGCATTGTGGCAGGTGGCAAGGAGCCGGGGCCCAAGTTTTGTTTCGTTTGGCTGGGTATGCAAATGTGATGCTCGCGGAAAGTGAGACCAAGGCAAAGAAGCGGGATTGTTGCCTGCACAGTTGAAGGGACTTTTGCCGCCACAGAAGTTGGTTTGAGATTCGCGGATGGATCATCAAACACATGAGTCGCTGGAAGGAACATCTGGTCGTATGGTTTTAAGGGAATGGATGATTGATCCATGGTTCCATAGATTTTGTCGGTGGTGTTTTCTTTCGGGTTTTTCCTGCTAACCAACAAAACCCTACCAACAACAAAAACACGCCACAGTTGGTGGTAGTTTTTGTTGGTTGGTGGTTCCTTAGTGTTTCGCTGGAATTTTCTGGCTAAGGGCCCGCCCTCCTTTTGCGGGTTTGTCTCCATAAGCCGTGGGCGCGTGCGAGCCGAGCAAGCTGAGCTCAGCGTAGGCCGCTGGAGAAGGCCATGGCGCAGCTGGAGGATTTGTTCAAAGGGCTGCAGGCCGTGAAGAAGCAGGACGAGAACTTCGCCCGGGACCCCGGGGTCAGGAAACCGCCGGGGGGATGGGGGATGGGGGATTGAGGGGGATGGAGGGTGGGGGATCGAGGGGGATGGAGGGGGTGGGGGGGGATGGAGGGGGAGGGATGGAGGGGGAGGGATGGGGGGGATGGAGTGGGGGGGGGATGGGGGGGATGGAGTGGGGGGGGGGAATGACTCCCACTTGGGTTTCGTTGTGTTGTGGAAATGCCAGATTTTTCAAGATGTGATCAATGGTGTGTGCTGGGTTCCGTGGGAATGCTCGGGAGGAATTCAGAGAGTTCTGGGCTTGTGATTTCTATGCGCACACAAGAATCGCGAAGCCCTGGAGCTGCGGGTGAGGAGGAAATTAGACGTGAAAGATGTGGCTGAATCAGTGGGGCATGTGTGTTGCGTTCGCGCGATTATGGTTGGAAGAGTGAACCATGCTTGACCAGATCTTGTTTGCCCAGATCAGCACCACCATCGACCGCGTGATGAAGGCAGTGGACGCTTGCAGCACCACCAGCGAGCGCCCCGACCATCCTGTGGAGCGCTTGCGGCTACCTGAGTACATGAGCAGTCGATAGGCCATGTTGGCTGACTCACTGACAGGCATTTCTGGCTCCTGCGATACGCCGGTCACGAGACGGAGATGTGGTTTCAGCTACTTTGTGCCCTGGTGGCAGTTCTCAATTTGTTTTTTTGGCTTAGCGCCTTGAAGTTGCAGCCAGCATTGCGTCAAACACTTGGGTTGCAAATATTTTCTCGAAACACGGACCCGACTTGCTAGAGATGATCCTGCAACTCCAACCTTTGCGTTCCACTTCATGTGTCCGGATTTGTTTGATCCGTCGATTGTTTCCTTTTGAGAAGGTTGAGAGTGTTCAGGGCAGCAGCTGCACCAAGTGAGTCACAATCAAAGCCCGGGTAGATGAAAATTAGTAAGGGGCAGTCCCAGCCAAAAATTGTTGCGGCCGCCTTCTTAGTTCTTTACATGGTTCTGGGTAGACCATTTTAAAACCGGGTTTTGATTGCGACTCTTGATCCAAACCCAAAACGCCGCCGTGATGGGAAGGGCGCAGATTTCTGACTGCAGCTGTCATTTCAGGCAGAACATTGCTGAGCCCGGACTGCATGACCGACTTCCAGCGCTTCAATCCCTTCCTTACAGAGGAGCTGCGAAGCGCGTACTTGTGAAAGCTCTCAAGGCATGTTGCTGGTATGAAGCTTCTGCCAGCTGAGCGGCTCTAAGAAGCACCCTTTGAATGCCAAGCAAGAGTTGTGTCATGGGAAGGCCCCCACATATGCAAAACCCACCGCGCAAGCCGGCCTAAGCACTCTTGGGGAAACACCCGTGTAAGCTTTGCTACGTGACTGCTTGCAAAAGTTGTTGAATGCCAGGGGTTTCGTCGTTGGATTTCCAAAACACAGGAGTTGCCGCTCAGCAGATTGAGCAAAAAACAAACGAGTCCTGGCGCATAAGCAGGCGTGCAAGGATTGCGTAAGCTCGTTTAGCACGGCTGCCCGCTCGCCCACGCCATGATGCCGCAAAAGCTGTTCCTTGATCTGCAATGGAGGCAACAAAAACAATGGAGGCAAAAACGTCGGCAAGCTCCAAAGCGCTGAGCAAGAGGGCTACAAAGCGAAGACCCCGAGAAGAACAACAGCGCCAAGTTGATCCGCATGAGAGCAACTCTTCACCAACTTCCTCCTCAGAGTCATCCACGTTATTTGGAACAGGCTGCATGCAAAAAGGAGCCCGCGTAAGCAGTTCTTGCAGGGGGACGCTCAGAAGGCCGACGCATAAGAACAACGTAAGCTTGACATGCTCGCAGACTACCGTGTAAGCTAGAACATGTGTCGCACAAGCAAAGCGCTAGCTCGCGCATAAGCAAGGTTGCACAGCATACGGACTTCATGGCGTATTCATAGAGTTGCTCAGCTGACGCTCTTTGGGAAACACGCCCGTTCTAATCCAATAGCACTCCCATCAATGACGAAACACAACAATAATCACCCAACACCGGGCATGCAGGGGACGCAGAGGGCCGCACGCAAAGCATCGGCTTTTTGCACTTGTCCCAAACTATGCGCACCTCTACACAATGAACACCATTGAGTGGTGGTTATATTTTTGGGCAAGAGACATGTAGGACATGTGAAGCAAGTAGCACCGCAGGGCATGAGCCACACGCTGTTGAAGTTCGCTGCAAGCTACGAACAGCGTCTTGAAAGGGCAACAGGTATTCAAGTAGCTTCGTACCATGTTTCTTGATGGTATTCACACGGAAGGTTTTAGAAGGTTTGACCGGGACGCTCCCCTTTGGAGCTGCGCATAGAGGTCCTGCGCGAGAGGTCCCATGCAATTGACACTGCCAGGAGGAAGTCCAGGAGCTGGGCGCTCAGCGGTTTTCGTTTTGAGTCGGGGTCCATTTGACTGTGGGTCAAAAAACTGTACCCTGGTGAACATCAAAATATGTGATCCATGGGTGTTCATCCGCCCCAAAATGGAGGCATAGGGTTATGACCCATGGCCATTTAGGGGCCGGTTTTTTGTTGGGTTTGGATTTTTGGACACGGCGTGCGAAAGCTGGAGGTTGCTGGCAGCTTTGGCACAGATGATGCTTGTCACCTCTCGAAGACAGCAAGTTTGCCGGGTGGCTTGCTGAGAGGGATGTGGCGAATACTCGCCAGCCGCACGTTTCGTGGCATGGCTGTGAGGCTATGGACCACTGCCGCAACCTCCTGAGCTTACTGGGTCGTGATAATGCGGCTGGGCCGAAAAGAACGCTCGCAGGAAGCACTCAGGGGGGATGTTGCCTCCTTCTTTCGGCTTTCGGCCGCTTCCGATCCCGAGGCCTCCAGCTCGGCAGTGGCTCTGAAGGCAGGTCTCACGGAGAAGTGCGGGCCTCGGATGGGAAGGGGGCGGCCGAGTGACTGGGGAGTTGTGCCTGGCTTGAGGAGCTCCCTTCTGTCCAATGCGATAGCTGCTGAGCGCCCGCGGCCGAGTTTTTGTGAGATGCAGCCACATCTGGGATTGCTTGAGGCATATACATCTCTGAGAAGGATGGAAAGAAAGGCTGGCTGAGAGAGAGGGAGAGAGAGAGAGAGAGAGGAAGGGGGGGGAGTGGGTTGGTGAGTGAGAGAATTGGCCAGAGGCTTCGACCCGCGCTTCCTTCTCTTCGAGTTCATCTCGGGCTTCCTTCTGCGGCCTCGGCAGGCAGGTCATGAGGTTGCAGAGAAAAAGAACACCTGGCTGTGGGTCAAAACCAATGGTACCATTTTGGGGTAGGTGCACCACTCATTTTAGTCTATTTTAGTTTTGGGATGTTCACTGGGGGTACGATTTGGCTTTTGACCCATGGCCACCTGTGTGAAAAGAGGAAAGGCCGCGAGCGCGAGAAACATCTCAGGTGGAGATGGTGCGAGAGTTCCTCAACATCATCCATTCCGGAGGCAGTGCAGTGCCCTGGCCGCATTGAGAGAAGAGCTAGAAGAGCCGAGAGGGCAGCTCAAGCCCAGAAGCCGAGGTCAAGCAAATGATCATGGGTCCTGGGCTCAAGATACACCAGCGACTGGCTGGGAGGGGACACTAAGTCTGTAAGTGACTTCCATTCTTTATTCTCAATTTCTGGTAAACTCGCTAACCTAATTTCTTTGATGCCTTTTGCAACTCAGGCCAGGGGAAAACCACAGTGGTGACGCCTCTCCTCTCTTTTGTGCTGGCGGACTCTGAGCACCTCGTCGTCATCGCGCGGAGCTCAAAAACCAGACGTCAGACATTTGGACATTGCGCTGAGAGCAGCTCCGGCCAGGTGGTGCCACACGCGCTGCTGGAGTTCTCGCGCTCCGTGCTGCAGGGGACCTTTGCCTCGGTGGTGCAGAAGCAGGCGCAACGTTGGGTTTGCGAGCACATCGAATTCCACTCACCTCACCTGGACGTTCCGGTGAGCTCGTTTCCTGTTTTTTTTTGGTGAGGATTCCGCCCGCCCGAAAACGCAGCCTCCGGTGAGCCAGTATGTCATTAGTGTCGATTTTTGGTGAGGTGTCCACCTTCAAATGTGATCGTGCCGTGGACATTGACTTCAACTTCTCCTTGAGCGTGGATGCTGTGCGGCTCCTGGCTCTAGATGCTCCCACGCAAAGAGAATGGGAGAAGCGGATCACTGGCATCTATTGTAGCACACACGGCATTTGGTCACATGGTTTTACATTGTTCCACATTGTTCCACATTGTTCCACATTGTTCCACATTGTTCCACATTGTATCATAACATTCATCGCGAGGGGAAAACGGCCGAAATTGCAGGTGTCCTTAGTTAATATTTTCGGGACCTGTGTATTTCCAGCCCAGATATTTGACGCCAATGAGCACACTACAAGAGGCTCCAAAGGCCGACCGTTGCGCAAAGGTCAGGCGGCAAGGAGATCTCATTGTCACTACGCCAGGAGATGTCAGTGGCTGAGAGGCTGTCTTTCAGAGAGTAATGGCAAGTCCCCCCGGCTTGGCTCTCTGTTCGAGAAGGCAAGGGGCGCGCTTCCTACCCCTGGCTTGTTCAGGTGAAGTCTCTCCTCTTGAGATTCCTGGAGCAACTGGAGGTCTCCAGCGACCGGCGCTCCAAGAAGAATACTCCACAGCCGCTGAGATGAAGGGGAGCTGCCGGGTGCCGATTCTTTGAGCGGAACCAATTCGCAGGAGCATCAGTCAGCCAGTCAGCCGCTTCGAATCGCCGAGCCATCGAAGTCGAGGGTCGTTTTTTGGGCCACAAAGCCAAGGCTCCGGCGAGAGACGCTGGAGATGGGGAAAGTGCTGCAGATGTTGCGAAAGCAAAGCGCCGGGCCGGCACGCTTGAGCGAAACGAGATTGGATGTGATTCGGCGCATTGGCCTATGGCAGGTCTGCATGTTGGACGAGGTCGACCTTATTCTGCGACCTCGGCAGCAAAAGAAGGAGCAAACAGACTACTTTTCTTTGCTTGAATTCCTGAATGATGCTTATTTTGCTGTAAACCCAAGAAACCATGGCTTTCGCCCTGGCTTCAATCAAGTTCTCCAGTCTGAGGCACCCGCTCAAGTCGGAGTTGAACTTCCCCACCGGCCCAAAGAGTTGAAAGCTCAGCGGGCCGAAAGCGGAGCGCGGCTTGGGCGGGCCTGCAACTCAGGCCTGATCCACCACGCGCCGGAGCGTTGGCGAGCTTACCTCAGTCTCGCCTTTGCGCTGGTGGCACAAAGCTGGTTAATTTGTATGCCTCACAAAACGAAGCTGCCCAGAGAGAGAGGGAGAGAGAGAGAGAGAGAGAGAGAAAAAGAGAGAGAGGGAGAGAGAGGGAAAGAAATCAGAGAAACAAGCAAAGAAAGAAACAAACAAAGAACAATACATAACGAAAGAGCGAAACAACGAAAAACAAATAGCAAAGGAAAGTAAAGTAAAGCAAGACAGAGAGAGAGAGAGAGAGAGAAAGAGAGACGGGACTCTTTTTCCCTTGCGCCGTTACGGCGCCGTGAAAGGCCTTCCGCTCCATGTCCTGGACGGCTTCTTCGCCGCAGAGGATCCGGCGAGAACGCCGGCTCAGCTGAAGGAGTCCCACGCGGCACGCCAGATCTTGCAGACCCTGTCCGAGGCGCACGGCTTAGGGGCGGCAAGCGATCGGCGGGTGTGGGTCAAAAATAGGTACCCAAAATAATAGAACCATGGTAAATGGAAACAAGGACTAAAACCTGCGGTCCCCTGGTGGTATAATTTTGATCTATACCCAGGTAGGGAATGAGAAATGGAATGAACCTGGGGATTCCCTTAAGGGAAACCAGAAGGGATGAGGAAACCATAGCCGATCGCTTTAAACAGAGAGGAGCACGGCACTCATCATTTTTGGCTTCAGTCTCTTCTTGCCTGCGGCTTTGAGTGGCGTGACACACCAGGCTCAACTGTCTTGCTTGGAGAATCTGTCATAAGAAGATTAATACAGGACTGTACCTGTAAAGCTCTGAGAAGAGTTGCTCAAAGGATGCAAATGTGCGATCGTGATTTCGTTTCCCTCTCCATGCTCGTCTAACAATTATTAGTCAACACAGCTGTTTTACGCCTGCGTTTCTTGCTGGTGCTCACCACATGAGGGAATGAACCCAGGGAATTCTCTCAAAGGAAGCCATAAGGGATGATTTTATAGGGGTCATTCCATGTCTCATTCCCTGCATCTCTCGCACCAGCAAGTCAGTGACAACTCCGCAACATGTTAGACTGCAAGCCTTCTGTGGGAAAGCTTTATGGTTGGTCCAACTCCCTGTTGAGAAAGGAGTTTGCAGGTAAAGGAGACGCCCAGCCCTTGGGGCTCGTGTCTCGCGCAAACAAGAGACAGCTTGGGCAGGTGGTGTTGCAGGGCACAGAGCGGAAGCAGCTGCAAAAGAACCCGCACCTGGCTGGGCACCGAGGACTGATGGTCACACAAGATCCACCAGTGTGGTCATTAATAAATCAACTCTTCAAGATAGAACCTGGAACAATGACTTGGAGTATTCAGGCAACCGTATTCAGGCAATCATGGTAAGGGTTCGGATACAGCGACCATGCCCCACGAAGCGTTTTGACCACAAATACACTTGCACGGAGAAATCAGGGCCTGCTTTGAGGTCCTACTCTCAGAGGACTTCTTCCATGACGAGATGAAGCCGATCCTTTGCCAGTGGCTGTGTGGCACGCTCAGCATTTGCGTGAAAATGGCAGGCAATATGAAGTTCAGACGGCGTACTGCCACGGATCATTGCACAAGGCCTGTGGCTGACGATCGAGCACGTGGGTATGGGGCTCAGACCCAGTCAGAATTCCACATTGACATGACAACTGCACGACAGTCACATATCAGAGCTTTTTGCTTGATCTCTGCATCGAGGCCGAGTGTTTGAGGAGGGATTTTCACCCAGCGATCGGGGATTGTCGGAGGAGGAGATCACAGCCTATTTGCACGCCCCTCGGGGTCGCAGGCATGCTGGTGTGTTGGCATGTGACATTTTGCCATGAATGCATGCTTAACATGGAAGGACACTTCTAGGCAGATGGATTTTCATGGCTGGCTTCCTCGCATATTGAGACTGCGACCTCTCTGCCTGAGGATCACGAGGACGAGTCCAGTGGACGTGCAGATGGTTGGCAGCAAAGAAGAGTGGGCCCAGTGGGCAAGAAGCCCAGCTGTAAGGTGTCAATGGCACTGATGCACTGATGCACCAGAAGGGGTGTTTGGCCAAAGCGGTGCTCTGACGGTCGACCATTGAGCAGGCTGCGGACGCCCCATGGCTTCAGGACTGTGCGGTGATGCTTTGGTCACCGCATGCTGGGAGAGTCATTTCGCTTTTGGTTCGCGCACGAGTGCGTGAGCATCCACGCGACCTAGTGATGCCTGGCTTGGTTTCATGAGCCATTCATCAGGAGCTTCTGGCGGCGGGCAAAGGCTCTGCCGAGGGCGAGTTCAATCCAGAGCTGGCCGGCAACCTATTGGCATGCTGGCTAGAGAGCTCACTTTTTCTTGGTCAGGTGAGCAAGGAGCAGCGCGGGATCTCTCTGCTTACAGAGTACAAGGTTTTTGGCCTCAGATTCCCACAAGCAACGGCAGAAAGTGATCGAGTGCATAGAAAGCCGAGCAGCGCTTTGACTGTCAACAATTTGGACAACGGGTGACAACCCTATGCTTTGCAGTTGGCCCATCATGTGGCAGACAATATTTTCAATGCTAGAGGTGCATTGAGAGGAAGTGCCGACAAGCTGAAGTTTGCTTAGTGAACTCACGAAGCAGCCAATAGCTAGAGCTAGGCGGTCACCCTCACAGAGATGCAAGTTCAGCCACATGGCCATGGTTCAAAACCAATGGTAGCATTTTGGGATAGGTGCACCACCCATTGTAGCCTATTTTAGTGGTCGGATTGGGTTGCTCACTGGGGGTACGATTTGGATTTTGGCTTTTGACCCATGGCCACATTAGCCAGGAGGCGGAGAGGGTTTGTGTTTTTTTGAGGCCACCATCCTGGAGGGGGGCGACCAGCTCCGCCTGAAGCTCCGCGAGACCCCGGCAGCGCTGGAGAGGCGCTTGGCGCGTTGGGAGCCCGGCCCAGCCAAAAGCAGCGCATGTCGATGACTGGTATCCGCTTGAGAACCATTGGATGACTTAATTGATTTGCTGAGCCAATGATTCTCAATGTTTGACCAGTCGATCCCGAAATGCAAACACACCAAGAGGGTGACATGCCAAGGCGTGAACCGACTTCCAGCCAAAGATGTGCAGACGCTGAACTTGGGCGGCGAGTGGTGTCCAGCTCGGCCATCGGTTGAGAGGGACTTCATGCTGTGCAAAGTTGAGCCACAATCAAGCTTGGGTAGATGAAAGTCACTAGACAATTTCGTGACCTGCTTTTGGGCAGACTCCTTCAGCCCAAGGTTTTGATAGCGACCAACTTGGGCGCTTGTTCGAGTGTGCAGACTGTGATTCGACACTATGCCTCACGTGTAATGGATTTTGCCTATCTTAATACCGTGCCGCAGCGATCCAAGCCCTCTCTGCCAACACGCATCGTCGGCCGATATGTCGCTCGTTTTTGCCGGTGAGGCTGCAGACCTTCTTGCCCCACTGCCAGATTCCCGGAACCTCCGTGAAGATATTGGGGATGTATTGGTATGATTCTGTGATATTGGTTTGCAGGGAAAATCTGTGCAACTCCAGGAGTTCAGGTCAACTTGTCACTTTGTCCGTCAGGCATGCATTTGAGCCACATGGCCACAGGGTTTGCTTTGTCAAGGCATCTTTTTCTTCTATCACACGAGGCCTGCAGAAGATCGACAGAGTCACCTTCGGCATCATGACGGATGAGCAGGTGCCAGACTTGGTTGCAGCTGGGGCTGGTCGTTTCTTCCTCCGGATGGTACTTGGCGTTCTATAGCCTTTTTTTTTTTTTCTCGAGTGAGGGGTTTCCTCGGATGGTACTCGGGGGCATTCCATAGCAAAGTTTTTTGCGAGGCACGCCCTGCCGTGAGGGTTCGGCCAGGTGAAAGCTGCTCTTGCCGAGCAGCCGCTCATGCCGCTGACCCGTTCCAAGCTGGCGATTCCCTTTGTGGGCCGTGAGCTCAGCAGGCATACCAGGCAGACCAGGCATCCCAGACATCCCAGGCATCCCAGGCCAAGCTGGAACGAGCGATTTCAAGTGCGTGCGTTTTTAAGGACATGGCGGGTACAATTTTGGGCGGATAGTGCTGATATAACTCTAATCTAGCAATCAGCAAAGCCCTTTTTGCCATGCTCCGATTGAGGCAAGGATGTGCCATCGCAGAGCTCTGAATTTGCCCATCCTGACATTGTGCTGGATTCTTAGTCACAGCGCGTCACGCCGCCATGTCTGCACCTGCTCGAATGACGGAAGAGTTCCTCGGCCACTCTGGGCGTGTAGCCTTTGATTTGCTCGCTTTCGGATTTGAGGCTGGGCCTGACCTCTTTCGCCTACCGATATGAGGGTCTCCGGCGGTCAGACTTCGATGAGGTGCCAAAACGTGCGCTGGAAAAGGTTGGCAGAAACGTGAAAAGCACACCCAGTGTCCTAAGAGGCAAGGGAGCCGCACCCGGCTCAACGTGCGGTTACGGGAGCAAGTGTGTTTAGTTGCGGATGAAAAGGAGCGCTTTTGCGCTCTTGCGCCCGCAAAAATATGCGATTCGTTTTTTTTTTTGCACAGGTCATGTCTGCTCTCGCAGACCGCCTGGAGAACGAAGGAGGTGGCTCCCAACTCGAGAGACCAACGGCTCTGCGCCGGAGCCTCGGATGCCTTCGGCTTCGCGCGCTCGTTCGGTTGGAATGCCCAGGCTGGAAGGCTTGGGTGGAGGAAGCAGGTGCTGTGTTCTGCGTCAAGCAGCGGGAGATGGACGAGCGGACCAATGAGGACCGGGTCGTTTGAGTAGAGCTCCTGGACACAACAACCATCATGTGTCCCAGCAGCTTCAGAACTGTCTGTGGTGGCAGTTGCATGCAGTAAGCCATGGCAAGGACACCAGACGAATAACGCTCCCGCCCTGACGGCTCCAGAGATTCCGTCAGGCAAAAGTCTTCAAGAAAGTGCCTAGACTGCTTCATTGTGATAAACATCTACCTTTCGCGTTCTTTCGCGTCATTCCCAGCCATGGCATTGAGGGAGGAGGAGGGCTTTGAGTTGGAGACCGAGCTTCATGTGGCTACTCGCGAAGGGCGTTTGGATGCAGTGAAGCGGCTCATCGTGCAGGGTGCCGACGTCAACAAGGCAGACGTGGACCTTTACACTCCTCTGCACCGTGCCTGTGACAACAAAGATGTGGCATGCACACAGCTGCTCTTAGATGCCAAAGCGGATCCCGACATGTCCCATCCAGGCCTGGATGGCTGGACGCCTTTGCATGTCGCAGCCTGGCAGAATGCCCCAGAATGTGCAAAGCTGCTCATCGGAGCGGGAGCGGATTGCCATGCTCTGGATTGGTACGGGAAGACCCCACTGGCCCTGGCCGGCAAGGAAGCTAAGGAGGTCATGGCCAAGCTGTCGCAGAAGAACGAGGATGAGCCTGACAAGTTCAAGAACCTTCGGGCAGGATGCGTAATGCAGCCCTCAGCAGTGCACCTTGCCAACATCGAGCGCTGCACCAAGGCTTCTTGAAATGTAAGCAGACCTTGCGCATATGTCATATACTTTCATATGTGTAGCATGCTTCATATTGTGTTATGTCTCTCTCCTGTCGGACCCTTGCAACCCGGTTGTGTGTTTCCCGATTTTTTCTGCAGTGACCTGTTTCTATCCCTGGAAGGCCTCAGCTGACCATGGCGAGCAGCAGGGTGAATTCTGCGAGAAGTTCGACGCATCTTGTACAGTTGACGCCCGGAAAGTTGGGGGGTAGTTAGACCCGCCGCATTTCAGATGCATTTTCTTGCCTCGCCAAATCTGGCCTTGGCAACTTTCGGCCGCGTTTTCCCACGCCCTGGCAGCCTACTAGCACTGAGGTAAAAGTGAGAAAGCATGGCCTGTCACATTTTGCTATCCAAACTCGGGACCTGCTCCTGGCTATTCCAAGCCAACCACAACGCCCAGATCCAGGGGCCAACTGGAGGGTGCCTTGGAGGACCTGATGCTTCATCCAGTGCTTGCCTTGGAGGACACCGGAGAAGATCCTCGAGCAGACAAGCGCCCTCGAGTGCGCCACCTACGGCGCTTGCGTGGCTTGAGTATGCCGCCTTGACGCGGCGGCAAACTGGGGCACCATTTGGGCATGGATCAAAATTAAACCACCAGGGACCGCAGGTTTTGGTCCATGGTTCCACTTACTAGGGTTCCATTTGAGTACCTTTTTTTGACCCACAGGCATTTAGAACAATCCCCCCCTGGGTGTCCTGCATTTGCCGTCGCTCAGGTGCTTCCCCTTCATCTTCTGGAAAAGACAAACGCGCCTCAGACTCTTGGCTGCAAAGGCTGCGCCTCAGCAGGCCCCTTGCATCTCTGGACATTGGTCACACGAGGATGCAGCGGCTCTTTGAACTCTTCAGGAGGCAAGCCGATTTTTGGCGAGGCTTCTGTAAGACTCCAGCAGTCCATCTTTTGCCTGCCCCAATTTGTGGAGGCTGCCATCTGCCATTCACTTCTACTTGGAGAACATCATCTTCCCCAACTTCATGCGCTTCCAGGAGCAGAAGTCGCCGACTTAGCATTTTGGAGGAGTCCGCCCCGACGCGGCGTTTTTCCGCTGTGTTTTGCGCTGAGGTTCTCTGCTTCTGGCCAGGAGATGGGCGGATCCATCCTCTTCCGGCAAAGGCCCGGATATGGGTATGGGTCAAAATTAAACCACCAGGGGACCGCAGGTTTTGGTCAATGTTTCCATTTACCAGGATTCCATGTTGGGTGCATATTTTTGACCCACAGCCATATGGATATTTCCTTTTCCAGTTCCCTCGCTCTGTTCGGGTTTCCCCCTTGAGACCTCCTTTTGCTTGATGTCGGGGGACGGGGACGGTCACTCTTCCGGGGCCGAAAGCCTCGGAGGCTCGGCTTCTCCGGCACGCCCAGCGAGCTCATGCCGCGCGAGCTGGGGCAATGCGAATACGAGCCTGGCAGCGAGGGCGAGGCCCAGAACTTCCAACTTTGTTTCTTCTTTTCTTTTTTTTTCGGCATGGAAAAGCGTCGAACATTGAGACACCACGTTATTTTCTCGTTCTCCGGCGCGGAAAAGCTGTGAGTGAAAGGCACTTCAGGTGTCCCGCAATTGGTGCTTTGGATTGGTGCTTTGGGGATTTGAAGCCCAGGTTCTTGGTAAGGGTAAATGGAACCCCAGGCCCAATCTCCAAACCACCGGGCTCCAAACCACCCCTTTTGGGGTGAAGCACGCAGGTGGTGAGCACTTTGACGTCTCCTTCCATCGTGTCCTTCAAGACCCTGGGCTCTGACTGGACCGTGGAGGCGCTCCTGGACGCTGTGGCTGAAGCCGCCGAGCGCGGGGAGTGCCAAGCGCTCATCGACACCGGCGCCGGGGGCCCTAATTTGTGGCTCTGGGGCCAGGGGGGGGGGGACTTGGAGAACCCTTGGGGTCGTGTCTTTTTTAGTGAACACGTAAAGATGGCTCGGGTTGGTTTTCCTCTTGGCTTCCCTGGTACCCAACCAAAAGGAAAACGACACCCGTTCCTTTTGTTTCGACCAACGCTGGCCGCTCGCCTGGACTCGCCGATTTTTGACCTTCACGCGCCCAGGCACTGGTCACCGGCCTCACGAACAAGGAGGTGGCAGAACACCTGCTGGGCTTCAAGAAGCGTCCGCCGGCCCAGTGCGGGACAAACGGACCGACAGGAAGGATTTCCAGGCGCCGCAAAAGGCCGGCGTGGCCCTTTGCGAGTGTCTTTCCTTCGACCCGTGGTAGCTTTCCGTCGCTTGCTTTCATCCAAGAAGAGTCCCCTGATGTGCGCGCGTGCGTGGGTGGGTGGGTGGGAGGAGTGTTGGGTTTTCTTGGCCTCTTACAGCTGAGGTGCGGATGGCACGATGCCAGCGATACTGCCAGAGTGGATCGAGGGCGTGGTGTACATCGAGGAGGACGGTGCCAAGCGCATTCTGCCGCGTGCTCAGCTTTCCACCGGCTTTTGAGATCACGTCTTAGAACCGAATCAACATTTCCAGGCGGATTTGCGGGGTTCTCAAGATAGCGCTCCCCAAAATGGTTGTTTCCTTTTGGTTTCTTTTAAAAACCAAACCAAAAAGGGGTCCACCACTTGGAGACACCCTCAAATGTTGGGCAGAGGTGGTGCTTGCCGCAAGAACGATGTCAGGAACCGCCAGTCCCGTGAGGTGGGCAAACTCGCTGCCTGGGGGCCCCAGGTCTCGACACCACACAGGTGAGAGGTGCCCGAGAGCCGCGCGGCGGGCGATTTTTTTTGTTGCCGAGGACAGCGGCGTGCCCATCTCTGCGAGGTTCTGCTTCTATGACCAGATTCACACCACAGGAGCCTCTTTTTTTAATTTTTCTGTGCGCAAAAGCTGGCATGCACATGGGAGTTTGGTTGCGAATGTGCTCAGAATTGAGCCCCCTCTTGGATGGGGCTCAAGAGAAGCTGAACATATACAGCGAATCGCTTGAAGGGGCTCCTTCTTTTGCATTCCCATGTTGCACCATGGCGTGCGGGAGAGGCATGGACATTCAACACCGTCTTGATGCTGTGGCTGCACTGACACTGGGTCTCAAGCTCAAATACAATCTTCATCAGACAACCTGGCACTTCTTTTCAAGTTCGACTGAGGCAAGGATATGGTGTGGCGCAGCTTGGCAGTCAATGGATGCAGAATGTGCGGACTTTGGGGATGTCAAACCAAGGCGACTTTGCACAGGGCGCATACAGGCGTGCCGTCGGTTGCTGCTCCAGTGACAGAGCATTCAGCGCACTGAGCCTGGCGAGGATGCGAGGAATTGGCCGAGGACAAAGCATATGCCTCTACATTATTCCTGAGTCACAGCCTCGGCCGAGTTTCGAGTCTCGCCTGCAGCTAGCCTAGCTCCTCACAGCAAACGTGAGGATTGAGCAGCTGATCTATCGCGACATGGGCCTTGCTCACTTGGCACAGTTGCCCTGCACTAACTTCGTAAGAGCACTTCGCTTGACATCCACTATCTTGCGAGGCCTCGCTTTTCAACGCTTGGACATCGGCACAAGGCTCGGGCTGTTCTCATCTCAAGCGTTGGCTACGTTGCACGCCATGTTGTCGCATCTCTGTTCGTTCCGTGTGAGGGCGTCCTCGATGCCGTTGCCTGCTGGCTGCTTTGCCAGTGCACTCCTCAGATGGGGCTGTGCACAGGCCGCAGCCAGTTTTGTTTCAGGTCCATGCGCACCGAGAAAGTGCAGTACGCCATGCTCCAGCTGCAGAACCTGGCAAACGTGTGGCGCAGGCGCGCCAGCTGGCCGAGCCTTCGGCCCATCTTTTGGGCCCGAAATCCGAAATCCAAACTCATCCAGGAGCTCCCTGGCCCTGGTCATGGGTGACTACGAGGAGCGACCGAAAGCGACCGAAAGCCGCGACGTTTTGTGGGCGAGCCGAAAGCGCAGCGCAGAGGCCATGGCTGGCATGAAGCCGGACACCCTGGCGCGGATCCAGGTTTACAAGGAGCCCATCGACTTCAAGGCAGCGAAAAGTCGAAACCTCAAGCAACAGCCGATGAATGGCGAGATTCTCTCCCATAAAAGGAGGATTCAGGCAGGAGATGGGGACAAATGTTTGCCATTTCTTGATATGGCCACGAGTTTTAATAGGGAACCACCTCAAAAGTGATTGGTGGACATGAATCCCCACCAAACGGTCCCTTATCAAAATCCATACCCATATGTTGGGCAGAAGGGCAACAGGAGGCAGAAGGGCAACAGGAGGTCACATTGCCTTGCCATCATGCAGGTGCCTTCCAAAGTGCCGCAAGGAGCTCAGCGTAAATCCCGCAGAACCGCAGAACGGAATATTAATGTATAGCGTATAGTGTGTGCATATTAATATACATATATACATATTTGTATATATATATATATGTATATACATATATACATATATATATATATATAACCTGGAGGAATGTCGATGAACGATTCAACATATTCAGCGCCCTGAGTTTGGGACGCACGCGAACGCAAACACAGACACACAAACAAACAAGCAAACAAACACGCAAGCACACGCACACACACACAAAACTGACAAACACACAAAACACACAAACAAGTGCACACGCAAGCACAGAAACAAAAGCACACACACAAACACTCAATCACACAAAACACAAGCACGCACACACACACACAAACACGAGCACAAGCACACACACACAAACACAAACACGCAAACACAAACGCATACAACACACACAAACACACGCACACACACAAGCAAGCACACAAGCACAAAAACACAAGCACAAAAAAAACACAAATACACAATTCACAACCGCACAACCACACACACCTACACACCCACACACACACACACCCACACACCCACACACCCAGACACCCACACACCCACACACCCACTTACGCATGCGCGTACACACGTACACAAACAAAGAAGCAAACAAGCAAGCAAACAAACAAACAAGGAAGGAAGGAAACAAGAAAGAAAGAAACAAAGAAAGAAACAAACAGCCAAGCAAAACAAAACAAACCAAAACAAAACAAACAAAGCAAAAACAAACCATCAAGCAAACAAGCAAGCAAGCAAACAAACAAACCAACCAACCAACCAACCAACAAACAAACAAACAAACAAAGCAAACAATCAAACAACAATCAAACAAACAAACAAACAAAAAAACAATACGAAGCAGAACAAAACAAGCAAACAAACAAACAAACAAACAAACAAACAAACAAGCAAACAATCAAACAAACAAACAAACACACAAACAGACAAACACAAACAAACAAACAAACCAACAACCAATCAAATAGCAAGCAAGCAAGCAAGCAAGCAAACAAGCAATCAAGCAAACAAGCAAACAAGCAAAGAAACAACTGCACGCCCGCCCACGCACGCAGCCACGCGCGCACGCACTCGCCCGCACGCACGCGTGCGCAGACACACACACACAGGAAGACACCGGCACACAACGCACCCCACACACCCGCATACCCACACACCCA